CTCTCTGCTTCGTCTCTCTTCCTTCGAATGTATTTATTTTCTGTGTTCTTCTGCTTCATTGTTCTTAGTTGTCGTTTTAATTAAATCAATCCTTTTGGTTCGTCCCTTAACGATTCATTCCTCGGTGATGATTAAAACAGATGACGAGTCTGATTGAAATCCATTCAACAAATCGTGAGGACATATTCGAGGCATTTGTCTGAGAGGAATAATCACTGCCCTTTTCTCACTTTTGTGTTCTATTTACATGTAACAGTCGTTTTTTTATTCGAAAGTTACTGTTTTTTTAAATACGAAAGCCTTTTTTCGCATAGCATTTAACTTATATTTATATAGTTTTATATAGGTGTTCTGACTTAAAATGGTGTAATGTCATCTGACTGATTGAATCACCAGGTTAAAGGCGTGCGAGCTTTAACTTCTGTTCGGATTTTTCTATTTCAGAACTTTTAAATCTGTTTTTAAACAATTTCGATCTTTATTGTAATTTTGTATGTAAAACTAAAACTTTAACGCAGCAAAAATTAACCGATTTGAAGATAGTTAATTATTCCTTATTTTAAACCTCTGATCGGTTATTTTTACTACAGAGCATTTGATTTTATTTAGAAAAATACTGTTTTGCTTTATTAGTACTCAGGCACAAGGAAATTGAGTTTACATTGTTATTTAATTGGAAAAATAAAAAAGGAGAATTAGTGATCGAGTAACACAATTTAATGGAACAATTCGTTGGAGCATCCACAAGTGATGTGTTTTGATCCCTCATCTCTTCTCTGCATCATTAGTGAGGGTTGGGTTTTGATCCCTCATTTGTTTTCTACATCGTTTCCTGTCAAAATTTTAATCTCCTATAGTGTATTGCATTTTCTTCTCATCATGGTGATCTGGGCCACGTATAATTTTTAATTCTCTCTTAGTTTTTAAATATACCACCAATATTAATTTGAATTTTGTTTACAAGAAGATTGTTATGGGGAATTGAGGAATTCTTTGGAATGCGATCGTTGTTGTAGTATTCTATTGGGAGAACGGTTTTGATCCATTTTCAGAGACATTTTCTAAAATAGGTAAAATCACACGCAAGAGAGAAAGGAGTGGTAAATTTCGAAATAAGTAAACATGTGTCATGAGTGTTATTTATAGAAAGGAAAAAACTTTGATTTTTTGGTAGAATTCTTTTTGTGTGTAATAAATTAATTTAATGAATAAAATATTAAATTAAAGAGTTGGTGAGGTTTGTGGCTAGAAATTTGGAATGATAATCTTCTTGTCTGAGACTCTCATTCGTTTGCTCCCTCACCTGTCTAGATTAAAAAAAAGACAGATCTCATTTTTTATCCATCATCTTACTTGATCAAATTTGATCTTTCACAGTAGTGAAGGTTGATCATCAAGTGATTTGATTAAGATGATAGGATAAAAAAAAGAATTTGACATTTTTTAATCTAGACATATGGGTGGAACAAATGAATGAGACTGTATGTGGATTGTCCTTCCAAATTTCCGGTTACAAGCCCTACCAACTTTTTAATTTAATATTTTATGTATTAAATTAATTTATTTTACAAAAGAATAATATCAAAAAATCATAATTTTTTTCTTGTATAAATAGATACCAATGAACGATATGTTGTATTTATTTTAAAATTTCTTACATCTGATTTTATCTGTTTTACATTATTTTTTCTATCAAAATGGATTCAAACTGTTCTCCAACCATATACTACACCAACTTTCCTCCATTCAAAATAGTTCGGGAGATCCCTCTCATGGTATTTGGTTCGGCAAGGAGCCAAGAAAATTGAATTTCATGAAGTTTAATGTGTGGCATGGTGAGAAGGGGAAGGAGATCCCCGTTGATTCGCAATTCCATTCTACTTTAGAAAATCTCTTCTGATACGTCGGATTGGCTAGGTTTAAAAAGGTTAAGGACCTAGTTTGGTTTTCCTCGGTCACCAACATTACTGACAGTGGAGATGATTGTTAAATCAATCCACCCAATTAAGCACGAAGATTGTGTTGCTAAATGTATGCACGGGAATATCAGTGGTATCCATATGGCAGCTTTGTGAGAGTGATAAGAGATGCCGAGAAGTTGTTCGATGAAATGTGCAAGAGAGGAATTGAGCCTGGCCTAACAAGTTAATCAATTGAAGGAGAAGGGCATATATATGTCCAAATATAGCATCATATGCATCAGTCACCAATTGTATATTTTCCTGTTGGATTTCAAGTGTCGAAAAATTGACCCCAGTTTATGAAAAATATTGATGTAGAGAAGTCCATCATTTGATGTTGTTTGTAGTAGCTGCTGGGGTTTGTTTAGGCAAATATTCAATTTAAAATTCCATTTATTATACTCCATATATCATATCTTTACTTTTGAGGTCTTGATGATTTGTTCTTATTTCCAACTAACCTTGTTGGCACGTTTTCATCCCATGTTTTGTTTTTTTAATGGTTTTCGATTTGCTGCAAGTGCTAATGTCATCTTGGATGGTTGTGGACCAAACTCGCTGTGCATGGTTGCTTTCACAGGCAACATAAGAATTACTACCTCCAGCCCACTATGTTTGAAACAAAGGGGTGTGACACAACTTTTAAGAAAATGGAATTATGCGATTGATATTGAATTAATAAAGTGTCAATAAAGTAAGAATGAATTGTAATCATTCAAATATTAGAGGTACAGAGGGAGGATCAAAAATGCTATTGTTGCCCATATTCCCTCACCTCCCTCTCACTTGCGGTAGTTCAAAAAAAAAAACCCAATCCCAAATTCGCACATCCCCTTTTCCCTTCCTTTGAATCGTCGCTAGCCATCGAAGAAAATCCCCGCTCCCAAATTTTTCATGCACCCCCTTTCCCTCCCCGTCGCTGGCGGTCGAAGAAAATCGTCGGCCTCCTCCCCGTCGCCGGAAGCTTCTTCTCCGTCAAAGGTTGTTGACGAAAACCGCCACACCCTTCCTTTTGAACAAGGCTATTGAACGCAACCCTCCTCTCGGTGTGAAGCCAACTTTCTTCCATGGCCGAAAGGTATGTATCTTCTATCTTTGGATTTTTAACAATTTAAGGCTATTTGATGATGTTTATTTGGAGGGCTCATAAGATATTTTTGTTTATATAGTTTTGGAACCCATCTATTGTTTAGATTTTGAACAATATACATTTGTTTGGGGATGTGTTATTACTTTCTATGTATTGTCTGTGTAAGGTTTATTTTATGCCTGTGGAAGGACATATGTATTGTCTGTGTGAAGATACATATGTCTAATCGCCCGTTTTCTGCATCGTTTTTCCACCAACGTGTGGGGCCCGCACCCAGCTCCGCTCTGCTCTGTTTTCTTCAAATTGATAGATACATCCTTTTGTTTTGGACAGTACTTCTGCTTGCATTTTGAAGCATTTCAGTTAGGCATGACATTAGTTTATGTGGTATTCTTGCGGTTCATGGGTGATGACAATGAGGCAAAAAACTACAACTATAGTCTGGAGGTGGGAGGGAACGGGAGAAAGATGATCTGCCAAGGCATGCCAAGAAGCATACGGGACAGTCACCATAAGGTTCGTGACAGTTTTGATGGTCTCATTATTTGTCTAGTTATTTGTCTGTGTGAACTTATATGTAATTGGTTGTGGCTCCATTTGTCTGTGAAGACTTATATGATTGTCTGAATGAGTCTACATATGTCTGTGTGAGTAATATGATTGTCTGTGTGACTCTACTAATATAGGTCCAAATGAAAAAATGTGTGGGTGGGGCTTTGGAAAAGTAATGAATTTTTCTGCATATGTTTGTGTGATTGATTCTTTGTATGTATCTAACTGAATGCTTGTCTGTGATACTTAACATAAGTCTATGTGCTTATGGTTTATTTTATTACAATCACAGGGCACTTGAACTTCAGATTCCTTTGAGCAAGCATTTCCCTGTGCAGTATTCTATGTGTTCGGATGTGAAACATGCTTCGAAGTACATTCGTACCATGTTGTCTAAGAAGCAAATGGGACTATTCCGGAAGACAGCATGGGGTCACCTTGTAGATATACATGACATTCAGTTTTGTGCCCAAATTGTGAAGGAACATCCTGAAGATGAGCTATGGTTCAATGTGGAGGAAGCGATCCAGTTAGACTACTTTGGGTCTGCATGTTTAGTGTTGGATTGATTTTGTTGTAAAACATTGATGTAACCTTACTATATACATTGGTTGTAACCTTACATTGGATTGGATCCAGTTAGTGTTGCATATATTCCTGAATTAGTATGCCTTTTTGTTTTTGTGGCAAACACTTACTCATTATGGTGTTAATATATAAGGAGGATGCCTTTGCCTGTGAAGAAGAAAAACCTTATCTATGCTATGTATCTGCTAGGACTTAGTTTGAATAAAAGACTTTTTGAGAAAAAACATTTTAAAAAATTGTTAAAGTACATTATAATATCTGTCACAACACACATTGCGTGTCTCTGAAGAAGAAAAACTCTATCTGTGAGGTGTGGTGTATTATTTATTTGTGCTATGTACACTATAATATCTGTCATAAACACGTTGTATGTCTGTGAAGAACAAACACTCTGTCTGTGATGTGTGGTGTATTTATGTGTGCTATGTATTTGCTAGGACTTAGTTTGAATAAAAGACTTTTTGAGAAAAACATTTTAAAAATTGTTAAAGTACACTATAATATCTGTCACAAACACATTGCGTGTCTGTGAAGAAGAAAAACTCTGTCTGTGAGGTGTGGCGTATTTGTCTGTGCTATGTACACTATAATATCTTTCACAAACACATTGTGTGTCTGTGAAGAACAAACACTCTGTCTGTGATGTGTGACGTATATGTGTGTGCTATGTAATTGCTTTTGTTTAGTTTGAATAAAAGAATTTTTTAGGAAAAAAACATTTTAAAAACTGTCATGCACATTTACATCAAACTAAGATTTAAATCTAAACCACTAAAAAAATCTAAACCACTACAATTCATTATGTCGGTCCTAGCACTTGATTTCTTCTTCCCCTTCTCCAATGGTCCTTTTTGGCGGTTTTTGTGTTAGGTTGCCATTTTTGTGTTTGGTGGCACTCAGAGTTCGTACGGGAAACTCTAAACGCTTCCCATATGTCTTGTAAAAATCACACACTGCTTCTTTGCTATCAAATTCCATACCAACATCCGGAGCTTTTATTGAACCATCGTCACTCTCATTTTGCTGAATTTCTCCATCTGACCAATACATGCAATGGTATATTTAAGCACAGACAGAAGTATATATACACACAGACGCAAGTATATTTACACACAGACATTTCAAATATAAGTTTATTTACACACAGACATAAGTAAATTTAAAACATTTTGAACACAGACAAGATTATATACACTTCACAAACACACAGACGATATTATACACTACACAAATACAAATAATTGTCTGTGAAGAACAAACATATATTTAAGTTCAAAGGCAATGAAATCAACAACACCAACTCATACCAAGCTCAGTGACGTCGTCCATGGCCGCCACCGCCGGTTCTCCGCCAAGTTCAGCCGTCGCCGGTTCTCCATCAAGTTCAGCCGCCGCCGGTTCTCCATCAAGTTCAGCCGCTGCCGCCGCCGGTTCTCCCTCAAGTTCAGCCGCCGCCGCCGGTTCTCCCTCAACTTCAGCCGCCACCGGAATATCTCCTTCAGCTCGAGAACCACCGGTTGTTTCAGCCCATTCAGCCCAATAATCATCCACATTAGTATCAATGATAGTTTCATTCACAAAGCCACCAAAATCCATGTTTTTTGAAGCCTCAAACCCTTGTATGTGTTGACATCTGCTACGGGAAGAAGAAAGAAGGACGATGCGGGAGGGGGCTGCGAGAAGAGAGGGTGGGGTTGTATTCGCACGTGAGGGAAAAGGGGATAAAAAAATGGTAATTTTTGGGCTATTTATAGTGTGTATGTGTGTGTATGAAATGTGTGTACCCAAAGCCCAATTGTTCTGATAAACTTAGGGGTAAAGAGGGAGGATCAATTGCTTCTGATAAGAAAATTAGTCCAGGGGACCATGGATCTGTTTAGAATACGAGAATAATTCAAGACTCCAAGGTTGTGTTTCAGGGAATAATGAATCAGTGATTTGTGAGAATTTAACGTATAAATGCTTATTTTTAAATAAACCAATGTATGAACTTGTCAACACAACACAAATAAATTATCTCCAAATATTGGAATTCCTACCACAAAGATAAATATGCAGTGCAGCCATTTTTTATGTTTAATTGGTAGTTAATGCACATTTGCACATTCTCAAATGTACAGTATCACCCGTGCATGCCAAAATTGCCACACTCTGGTGGAAGTGAGTTTTGAAAGAGTTGAAAAGAATACATTATACATCATTCTAATTAAATAGATATATTACAATTTACAAACCCAGGCAACTAGTTAAGATAAGAAATTAAGAACTTAAGGAATGATTGTTTATTTATTTGGTGCAACCATAAACTTTGTCGGAGGGCAACCCGACAGAAGAGAAAAGATTAGCAAACGATGAAGAAATAAATTTGACATATGGGACAAGAAGTATAAGTTGCATTTATATTTCTTTGTTGAATTGGGTTTCTTATTGTTTTATCCTGATACTTTTTGTTGATCATGGTTACAATAGTGGTTCATATTTCATAATACTGGTTGATAAGTCCGTAATTGGACACGCATTTGACACATGTTTAGATCGACTTTTGATGGTTTACCTAATTATTTTGTGTCACAAGTCTTATTTTTAGCTCAAGTCATAGTTACCGGGTGTTGGTTCGAGTTTTGTATTGTTTGGAGTCAAAATCAAGAATTAGAGTCCGACACTGGCTTTTGAGAAGCAATCGAAATGAGTTGATGATGCATTCGAGAGAGAACTGAGAGCTTTGGAGGTCACCGGGAGGTTCACGATGAAGATTCGATGATAAAAGAACTCTAGGATTGGCTACGGGATCAAATGAAGAGGAATAAAGCTTGAAAACGACGTTCAGGATGACCTTCTATCAATTGTTCAATCATATCTTTTTGTAGAAACATCCAAAGTACACGATTCATGTTCCATATGAAAGCCAAATTCAAGGGCTACAAATAATATGGAGACACCATTGCTAGAATCGGAGAGGAGGAAGGTGAAACCAGAAGAAGAAGTCAGATGTACGTTGTTGCGATTTCAGAATGCGACCTTCCACCATTGTATTTTTATCTTTTGATTGGATGATCCAAATCCAGTTTTGCAAGTTGTGGTGGATAGAAGACTTCATTATCTACAACTTTCATGAAGGAAGTTTTGTCAAATTCGGAAGGGAAGGCACTTTCGTGCCTATAGAAGAAACGGGTATCAACTCTCTGGAGGTCAGGCACGGTCGAGCCTACCAGGGAGGCACGACGTGCCTGACATTTTTTCGCCCCCAGGTGTCCTATTTCGGCCAGGATTGATCTGTTTTCTATTTAAACACCCCACAAACACCTTTTTTTGTGTTACGGAGCTTAGAAAGAGGCCTAGAGATGAAATTTCTTTTACTCTTCCATCTTGTTCTTCAATTCCCTTGGATTATTTGTAAGTTCCTATTTTTTAATTAATGACAATTAATTCTTTTCTTCCCAATTCTATTGATTCTTCAATTATGAGTTGTGAGTAAGTTTTAATTAGGGATTTAGGATTGATGAAGAGGTGTATCATGATGTATGGCTAACTCATGATGGATTAATTGCATGAATGATATTTAATTTGTGTTTGAATAATTTAATTGATATATATTGTAACCTAGAATAGCCACTAGGATTATAATTGCATGTAGAATAAATTAAGAGAGATCTAATTTATTCTAGGACACCTTCACACACACATAATCATTCGCTAAGAGATTAGTAACGATTAAGGGGCCGTACGCTCGCTCGTTTTGACAATAATTTTAGGATCCTGTCGCATGAGAGCTTGATCATCCTGGTCCCCTAAATTATTGTATTCTACGTCGCGAGAGCGGTAAGAACTTAGTAATGATTAACGAGGCTCAATTAAATTAATTTCATGTAATTAACCTTGATCAGCCAGAAATCTGATTAACCCGGAATCAATCCCTGTTCCCTATCGTCATTAATTAGAAAGAACCCATTAGTTTAATTTCTTTATTCGTATCTTAATTTTCCATCAAATCAAATCTCGCACAATTTATTTATTTATTTATTTATTTACTTATTTATTCATTTATTTATTTATTTTTCTTAGTTAGTTTTTCTATCGTTGAATTTAATTAATACTCAATTCCCTTTTATCCGTCCCTGTGGAGACGATACTCGTACTTACAGCCCATACTACTACATATTTTAAATGCGACAAAACTCACATCAGTCTTTGGCGCCGTTGCCGGGGACATTGTCGGTTTTAAGAGTTAATTAATTTCAGCGAGATTTATTTTAGTTAGTTTTTTTAGGTTTTTCGTAGGATTTTTTTCCTGTGCTAACCTTTCAGGTAAATTAAGGAGGCATGTGATGAACTCATTCTCAATCCCTGGAGGAACACCTTACCCCCAAACCTCCATGGAATATTCACCATTTACGCCATATCCTCCTTACACTCATCATCAGTATTATTCTCCTCATCAAAATTACTCTCCAGCACCACAAAATATTCGATCTTCCTATTCTTACTCACCAACTACCCAACACTTCCAATCTGATTCTTCTCATTATTATCCTTCATCACAATATCCTTGGGTAAGCGCAAGACCAGGCTCCATTCTTGAATATCTTCTTCAATCTAAAACTCCTCAGGAATTATCTCAATACTTTAAAAAGGGGGAAATAATAAAAATACCCCAAACTTTGAAGGGGTGTGAGGTAAACACCCCAACTTGCATATGTGATTTTGTTAGGAATATTTTATGGTGTCCAATCTAATTAAATATCTTTGTATTTGTGTAGTTATTAATTAAACGTGTAATACGACCCACAAATGTATCAGTCCGTTAGCTTCTTTGTAACCCGTAAGTTAGCCAACTTCTCCTATAAAAGGAGGCTAACTTACGGGAACCCTAATGTATCGAGGCTTGAGAGTGCATAGAGGCGAGATAGAGAGATCATGTTTTCCGCTGCTCTCTCTCGAGGGAGAGCAGCGGCGTTCTACACGGTATACCAGATTCGTTTGCTCATCTCATATCTTTCTATCTGCTTCTTGTTCATTGCTTATGATTGTTTGATTGTTAAGAAACTGGTTTTATCAATTGGTATCAGAGCCGAGGCGTGAAACAGGTTGAATCTATCTGCGTTTTTCGTATCTTACGAAGAACTGCTCTGCTTTTCTTCTATTTTTCTTTGATATAGAGATTTGCTCCTGTAATCTTGTTTGTGAACGAAATTTTATAAAAGTTATACTGTTGGAATCGCCTCTTCAAAACGATTTTACAACATATCTTTGTTTTCGATTTCTGCAATTTTTCAATTTCGAAGATCTCTACTTTTGAGATCTCGAGATTCTTGTTTTTCACTGCTGCAGAAATGATTTTGACTTGAAACTAGTACAGGAGAATCTCGACCTTCAGGGCTATTTAGAACAGGTTTCAAATTTTCAAAAATCGAAATTTTCATTTTGCAGGAACACGACATTTAGGGTCTCAAATTCCTAAACTCAACATTTTGAAATTTCGAGTTTTGAAATTTCAAGTTTTGAAATTTCGAGTTTTGAAATCTCGAGTTCTGAAATCTCGAGTTTTGAAATTTCGAGTTTTGAAATTTTGAGTTTTGAAATTTCGAGATTTGAAATTTCGAGTTTTGGAATTTCGAGTTTTGGAATTTCGACTTTTAGGATATCGATGTTTAGGATCTCGACATTCTGAAGATTTCGAGATTTTTAATTTTTTTTATGTTTTGAATGTTTCAAAGTTTGCAGTTTCTTGAAACTCAGAATTTTTCAAAGCTTGACATTCTTCGTAGTTCATCGAAGCTTTACATTATTGGATATCTGAATGAATCTCTCTCTGCTTATCAAAGTTTTTAGAAGTTTTCGATGTTCTGATGTTTTTCAAACATCAAGTTTTCGATATTATGAAGTTTTCGAAACTCTAAAGTTTTCGATGTTCCAAACATTTTGAAATTCTAAAAATTTCGATATTCTGAGGTTTGTTTTGCAGGTGGATTTCGCCATTATTCTTTGAGGCAAACTCATGATTGTAATCTCGAGTTTTAAACCTCGAGATTGTAATCTCGAGTTTTAAACCTCGAGATTGTAATCTCAAAGTTTAAACCTCGAGATTGTAATCTCGAGTTTTAAACATCGAGATTGTAATCTCGAAGTTTAAACCTCGAGATTGTAATCTCGAAGTTTAAACCTCGAGATTTAAACCTTGAGATTGTAATCTCGAGATTTAAACCTCGAGATTGTTATCTCAAGATTTAAACCTCGAGATTAGGATTTCGAGGGTTTGCCTTAGAATTTTCTCTAATTCCACCTGATTTCGATATTCAACATCGAGAACCTCAACTTCGAAGAAATTCCTCAAAAACTCAAAATTTCGAGATTTTCTGCGACATCGCACTGTTTTGGCCATAACTTTTGACTCGGTGATCTTAAGCAAACTTTGTTTTGTTTGAAAGCTAACAAAAAGATCTTCATGAATTCTAGGGGTTTACCCCAGAACCCAAATTCACGCGCCCTCACGCGCAATCCTTGA